TTTCTTATAGTTGTGTTGTTGTTAAAACCTGAACACTTGACATAGTGTATTCTAACAACTCTGGTAGCACGTTCGCCCCCTACCCCAAGGTGTGTGGTTATGATTATTTTGTTGTTTTTGTGTTGTTGGTAATTCTTTTAGTGACTTTTCTGGATTATTTCTGTAAATTCTGTATTCTTTGCAGCATGTGGCCACTTCATTTTCTGTTAGCTTTTTTTTTTTTTTTTGAGACTGAGTCTCACTCTGTCACCTAGGCTGGAATGCGGTGGTGCGATCTCGGCTCACTGCAGCCTCCGCATCCCCTCCCATATTCAAGCGATTCTCCTGCCTCAGCCTCCCGAGTAGCTGACTACAGGCGCACGCCACCACACCCAACTAATTTTTTTGTATTTTTTAGTAGAGGACAGGGTTTAACTGTTTCAGCCAGGATGGTCTCGATCTTCTGACCTCACGATCCGCCCTCCTTGGCCTCCCAAAGTGCTGGGATTACAGGCAGGAGCCATGACACCCGGCCTGAGGTTTCATTTTGAATCCTGACTTCCTATGCATAACTTCTGGGTCATTATAGTTTAGCGGTTGGGCAATGATTAGTCAGATTTTCTTAATTGTTTTGCCTGCATATATTCCACACTTTGCCATGGGGATTATGAGAGAAGTCGTGACTTTAAACTTCAGGTAGTTTACAAGACAGCCTTCATTTTTACATTCTGCTTGTATAGGGTCTCAGAGTCCCCCAGAGGTGACTGAAAGGTACCTTTTCCTGTTTCAGGTCTTTCCAGGGCACAGCTTTACAAATTTATGCAGCCATTTATATTACCAGAACCCTGTTGGAGCTTTTCAAAGTTCTCTGTGGCCTTGTAGATTTAAATTCCTGGCCAGGTTCTTTTTTGACCCAAATAAAGTCATGGAATTATGCAACTCTGACAGCCTGATAGGGACCAGTCGATTGCTATGTGCATAGCAATGCCGTGAGGGTAGAGCAATTTCCGCTGAATTGAGTTAACTGGGTTTCCATTTCATTTAGGTGTTACTTTTTCCAGAAAGGAAAGGAATAACAGGCTCCTTCACTTTCTCCTCTAGCCTTGGGTTTCCTTTTGTCTTGTACTTACTATCCTGAAGGCTACTTGTTCTTTTCTCTCCTGCTAGGAGGAGAGCTCCTAATTGCAATAAATAGTAAAAGTAGTAATATTAATGATAACATTGTCATTTACTAAGTGCCATCTGCCATCAGGCACAGGATCAGTTAGTTTTCAAACATGATAGCAGTTTCTTAAATCAACTCTGCCAGGCAAATAGTATTAAGATCTTGGTGATCGGAATGAAGAAAATGAGATTCTGAGGGAACAATCAAGTCACATTTAGAAAATTATGAAGCCAGCGCTCTCTTAATCATAACCAAGCTTCAGCTTTTCCTACTCTCAAGTGTTTTTGAAATCCAGCTGCTCATTAGAATCACCTGGAAACCCATCTTAAATGTTGATTATTATACTTTTCCAAGATGGAGTGAATGAGACTATATAAGATACACTTCAGATTCCATAGGTTTAACGATACCTTCCCAACTTCCCAACTTCATTTCCTAAGCCTCAATTTTTACTGTGACAGCAAATTGCTTGCACTTTCCTGGACATGTGACAATCTCTCAGTATTTACTCATTTGTGTATGTTTTGCTCCTTGTGTGAAATACCTTCACTTAACAACCTGTGCTCAGATTCATTTTTATTATACTTCTTAATCAACACCTTTCAGAAGCAGATTTTGTATGAGGCTGAGGAGAACAAAATGTATATATGTAAAATATATATGTACATATATATTTATAATGAATCCCATGTAAAACACACAGTTGAATATAAAAGCACACATACAAACCTACACAAATGAGGTATTACGTATATACGTACAGATATATCTTGTCGTACTGACCTACAATTGACTTTTTCCCTAGACTACACGCTCCACTGTATCTTTATTACCTAGTATAGTCTATAGAACTTAGAAGGCATGCATTAGTATTTTGGATGAATGGCTTAATAATCCGGCATCCATGAATGTTTAAATACTTAAATGTTCTAGTAGTATGGATTAAGTCTTCAGTTCTTTGAAACAGAGCCCTCATATTAACTCATATTCAATGTTGTTGCCAAATGAAGCCGAAGTAAAAATTCATGACTTGATTATTTCCTTCTAACGCTCTGCAATTTTTGTTCTTCACAATGATTTCTCTCGGGACTAGAAAGATTTGAACTGAATATGAATAATCAATCTCACTTTCTTTTTGGGCCCAGTATTCAGGTTTTAGCATTGCCATAGGATTATGAAAGCAGACAGACTGGATTGAATTTTAACTAAGCTCACCAGTAAATTCAGGAGATCCTGGTACTGCTCTTCCCTATTTTATTTATTTTCTTTATCTGTTATGTAAAAAACTCCCTTTACTAAAACAAACAAACATGCTTTCTGTGATGACAGATATTCTAAATAATTTTATGTACATATATTTACAATTTGTTTCAAATGAATGGAATTTTTTCATGATATGTGCTGTTTAATTTTATAATGAAAATGTATCAACAAAACTCCTCTATCTGGCATAGCCTTTTCCCTTCATGAAAGGAGCACTTTGTTCTGAATAGATGCATTTTGGATTTAGTTCAGGACTGAGCTGTTTTCAGAAAATTACCTCCATTTTGGCTAACATCCCAGGGGTACTGGCATACTGTAATGACATTGTCGTACATGGGTTACCCATACTTTTTCATGATAAACAATTCTGGCATCTATTTAAATGTCTTCAATAACATCCTGTTATCCTTATTTTACAGAAAGAACATTTCTGGAGCTTCCAAAATTTACTGTGCGTTTTTTCTTTTTTCACACTGCAGCTTTAACAGTCTGAGAGATGGACTATTTTGCTTAAATCACTAACTCAAGATACTGAATATTTCCCTGTCTTATATTTAATTCATTCTTTTCTACTTGATTCATTGCAAGGCAACTCTCCCTATTATTTAGTTTACATGTGCATGACATTCTAGTTTTCAGGCTGCAGTCAATATTTTAAATAAATAACCTCAAAATCATAAAATGCTTTGACATGAGTCATGTTCCCCAAATTGCAACATTTCATAGAAGACCTCTTCTCTAGAAGTTTCCTGAAAATAGTTATAAACAAAAAGATATCATGAACTTTCAAAGGCTCTCCAAAGTTTATGTTATATAAGTTTTACCTGGATAATTTTTTGAAAAATACACTCTTAAGCCCAGCCCCCAGAGATTTTGTTTTTACAATTCTGTAATGAGGTACAGTCGTTAGCCATTTAAATAGCTCGCCAGGTTTCTCTGATGGAGGTAACATGAGTTATTCCACTGTTTTATTCCAGCGATGAAAATGTATTACATTTTGTTTTCTCAAGTCTTACAAGGTATTTTTATTGCTGAACTCTCTGGTCTCTTGCTTTTAAATCTGTACGTACTCACCATATAATTTGATTTACATTTTAGTCATGAGCCAATGTCAAAGAACTATTTCAAAATTAGCCTTAAACCTTTCTTTGTCACTTTTCTGCTGTCTGCTTGACTAACTGATGTCAACGTTTGTACAGCTAAGATTTGCATACATCTTTAATGGTAGGGAAAATGACTGTAAATTGCAACAGCCAGTGAAGGTCCTTGAGTATCACATTCTGGCTGGCATTCTTAAGCAACTAGTTTCCATCATTTGAAGTTTAGGAGCCATGTAGGATTCAGATTTGGTGCTTAAATCATTTTTTTTTGGTGTAAAAATAAAATCTGCTATGGTCACAGGACTGTTCTGGATTGAAGTAGATGCCTTCCCTAACTTCAAGAAAGTTTAAGTGTTTAAACTTTTTCCTATTCTTGCACGAGTAAAGTAGATGGTTTCCTGCAGGGAAATATTTTGTAAAGGATCTTATTATAAGTGAAATAAGCCAGTCACAGAAGGACAAATACTGCATGATTCTACCTATATGAGGTATCTAAAATTGTCAGACTTGTAGACTCAAAGAATACATGGTGATTACTATGAGCTGGGAGGAGAGGAAAAAAGTGAGTTACTATTCAGCATCTATAAAATTGTGATTGTTCAAGATGAATCAGTTCCAGAGATCTCATATAAAGCCTTATATCCCCAGGTTAAAATACAGTTAAAATCTCATGTAAAGTGTTCTTACCAAAATTAATCAAGGAAAAAGTAAAAATAACTCTTAATAGAGAGAGAATATATAGATTACAACCTTAAAACTTAACAAATACTGTTTTTGTTTCAATTTGGGTCATCCTAATGAAATATATATATATATATATATATATATATATATATATATATATATATATTTTAAGACTTACAAGCCTTAGCCATAACTAATAAAATAAAATTAAAAAAAGAATTGCTATGTTAGTGAGTAAAATTGTATGGTATACATATTTGAGCAGATGCATCAATCTAAAAGGTTGGCATCAAATTTCATTGGCTATAAAATTATGTTGCTACAGTTACTGATATAATAGTAAGGCACTACCAGTAAATAAATGAATAAGCTCAGATTTTATTATTTTAAAAAATATATGCCATTATTTAACCATGTTCTCATCTCATTTGGGGAAAAAAGGGAAGTGTTGCTTCCATTCTTTTTTTGGGAGGTACAGAATAAATATGATCTAATTTTCATCATTAAAGGCATGGAAGACTCGAAGAAAACAGAACACAGGCCAGAGGATAGCAGGTAGTGAGGAAAAGAGCTAGAGTCAAGGCAGTGGCAATTAAACAGGTAGAGTATGGGTGGAAATATGACCAAGTGGTACAGCACAGGGAATCTCGTGTCCTGCATCAGTGGAGGGCACAGTATAGGTACTCATAACTAGAGAGCTGACGCAGAATTCCAGAGTTGCTTGGGAGGTGTCTTTTGTTTGTTTTTGTTTTGCTTTGTTGTGTTGTGTTGTGTTGTGTTTTGAGTCGAAGTCTCGCTCTGTCGCCCAGGCTGAAGTACAGCGGCGCGATTTCTGCTCACTGCAACCTCCGCCTCCCGGGTTTAAGCGATTCTCCTGCCTCAGTAGAATCCCTGAGTAGCTGGGGTTACAGGTAAGCACCATCATGCCCAGTTTTATCCCAAAAATTGTGGTATCCAATCCAGCCATAAGGTCAGGCAAGGAATTTTGATTTGAGGCCCACACAGATTCCTTCTTTTTTTCTCTCTCTCTCTCCTTTTTAATCTTTCTTTTGTTCTATTTTTCAGTTATTCAATCTTTAACTTGTCTATCCTTCATTTGTCATATTTTAAGTTATTCGAAACTCTTTCAACCTAGGATAAGCATTTTATTTGTCCTTAGCACACTGTTGGTAAGATACCTCTTTTCAAAGGTATTTGAGATAAAATGTTAAAATCTGGTGGCAACATTCTGAAGGCTGTCATTCAATTTCATGTCTATCTTATTCCTGAGTACAATAAATTCTGGAAAAAAATGCTCAAAGTTAAATAAAAAAAAATAATTACTCTTTCTCTTCATCTCTCTCTCTCTCTCTCTCTCGCTCTGTGTGTGTGTGTGTGTGTGTGTGTGTGTGTGTGTGTTATATTCCCCTTATGCTTGGTAGTAAGTGGACATTTCGTTAACATGATAAAATCTTCAAGATTTTTCTATATTGTTACACATTGAAGTATATCCTTCTTTTTAAAGGCTATGTGGATATATTTGTATCATTGTATGGGTGTATTTCATTTTTATCCATTCATTTACTGATGGGTATTTAGGGTGTTATCAAATTTCGGCAGCTGTGAATATTGTTGCAGTTACACCGGAGTGGTAATGTCTTTTCCAGATTCTGATTTCAAATCTTTTGGTTAAATACCCAGAAGTGGAATTGCTGGCTCATATAGTACATCTATATTTAACTTTCTGAGGAAACTTCACACAGTTTTCCATGTGATTGTGCCATTTTGCATTCCCATCAATAGTGTCCAAGAGTTCTAATTTCTACACATTCTTGGCAACATCTTTTTTTTTCCCCATTCTGGTTTTGATTTAAATTTCCCAGAAAATTAGTGTTGTTGAACATGTTTTCATGTACTTGTTGATTACTTTTATGTCTTCTTTGGTGAAATGTCTGTTCAAGTTCTTAACCCATTTTTTAGTTATTTATATTTTTGCTGAGTTGAGGGAGTGCCTTGTACATATATTGTAGATTAAACTTGTGTCAGATATATTGCTTGCAAATATTTTCTTCGATTTTCTAGGTTGCCTTCTTACTCTGTTGCTTGTTTCCTTTGCAGTGCAGAAGCTTTTTAATTCATGTATCCTAAATAGAATAGCCATTCACAAAAGACAAATATAGTCTAATTCTACTTATATATGACATTTAAAATGGTCAAATTCATAGAATGAGAACGTTGAATGGTGATTGGTAGTTGGTGGTTGCCAAGAGATGGGGGCAGGGGGAAATGGGAAGTTCCTAATCAATGGCCACAACATCTCAGTTAAGCAAGATGAAGAAGTTCTAGAGATCTCCTATACAACATTACACATTGGCCCACCAGTGCTGTATTGTACACTCAGAAACTTGTTAAAAGGATATATCTCATTTTATATTTTATCACAAAAAATTAATTTTAAAAAGTGATACATCCATATAATAATATATTAATCCATCATTAAAAGGAACAAAATCTCCATATATGTTACCACATGGATGGACCTTAAAAATATGCTAAGTGAAAGAAGATAGACACAAGAAGTCACATATTGTATGATTCCATTTATATAAAATATCAAGTATAGGCAAATCCACAGAGACAGGAAGTATAATAATGGTTGTCAGAGGCTTAAGGGCAGAGACATATAGGAAATGACTGCTAATGAGTAGGGGGTTCTTTTTTTGGATAATAAAATGTTCTATAATTAGATGGAAATGATGGTTGCACATATGCTAAAAACCGCTAATCGTACATTTGAAAAAGGTGAAATTTACAGTATATAAATTATATTTCCAATTAAAAAATGTCAGAAAAGTAAATTATGTTGTATGTGAATTACATTTCAATGTTTTTAAAGACAGATATGTGAAAAGATGTTTGTCTTGACTTCTTGTGTTAACAGGTAAAACTTAGACTTTCATTCATTGCATTTATTAAAAAGCGATTTACTATTTAATTAGATAATTGCTTTCTTTTTTTTTTTTTTTTTTTTTTGAGATCGAGTTTCGCTCTTGTTACCCAGGCTGGAGTGCAATGGCGCGATCTCGGCTCACCACAACCTCTGGCTCCTGGGTTCAGGCAATTCTCCTGCCTCAGCCTCCTGAGTAGCTGAGATTACAGGCACGTGACACCATGCCCAGCTAATATTTTTTTGTATTTTTAGTAGAGACGGTGTTTCACCATGTTGACCAGGATGGTCTCGATCTCTTGACCTCGTGATCCACCTGCTTTCACCTCCCAAAGTGCTGGGATTATAGACTTGAGCCACCGCGCCTGGCCGATAATTGCTTTTTTAATGCTATCTGCTCCAAATTCTTCAATACCTTAGAAGCAATGTATGTGTCTGTATTTGTGCATGTTTGCATGTGTTATTACTTTATTCCCAGCAATGCAGAGAGACTGACACGAGTTCCTCAATGAACAGTTGTTAGTTGAACGAGTGAATGAATGAAGGATATAAATTATCCAATTTGTTATTGTATTTCTGACCTAAGTTAGTGCATATGTCCATAGAGAATGTTGCATTCAAAGTCATTAGTATTTCCACAAAGGAAAATTTAAATTCTGCCACTTATTTTAGAACTCAGCTATTAAGAAAATAGTAAACTCTATCAAAATGAGACACATTGAATAACTAAAGTCAAAAATTATAACGATGTAACTGGCTATCCCTGACATTCTTTTATGCAAGGAACTTACATATTGTGACAAATTGCCCCACTGTATTAGTAAACAAGTTTAGTAAGGTACGAAACAAATTTCATCTTGAATTCTAGGAAACTAAGTGTCCAAACTATGACAGATAGAAACGAGAATATCTAGGGTAAATAAAAAACAAGATTTGAACCTGTTGAGCTCAAGGCTAGTGTATGGAAAATTGTTTTAATCATCAGATATCATCAGATATATAAGGTTGTCAGCAGAGAATTCATTCTCGTTAAATCCTAACAACAATGGAGGGTGATTCCTACCATAAAAAGCAACATAAACTTGGTGTATTACACTCCATTTTTGACAAACTGATCAGTGAACATGGCAAATTCAAACATTAGTAAGTTTGACTCAGCACAAAAAACTTGAAATATCCTGAAATCTTAATGCAAGTATGAAAAGTTATATTCTCTAATATGACAAAAATTCAAAAAACTTTGAAACATGTTCTGAAGATTTAAGTAAACTAACAAAAAATAAAAAAATAAGGCCGGATGCGGTGGCTCAAGCCTGTAATCCCAGCACTTTGGGAGGCCAAGGCGGGTGGATCGCGAGGTCAAGAGATCGAGACCATCCTGGTCAACATGGTGAAACCCCCGTCTCTACTAAAAATACAAAAAATTAGCTGGGCATGGTGTCGTGTGCCTGTAATCCCAGCTACTCAGGAGGCTGAGGCAGGAGAATTGCCTGAACCCAGAAAGCGGAGGTTGCTGTGAGCTGAGATCGTGCCATTGCACGCCAGCCTGGGCAACAAGAGCGAAAACTCCGTCTCAAAAATAAAATAAAATAAAAATAAAAATAAATAAACGAGTAATACTAAAGATAAACTACATTATTTTTGTTTTTCCGTATCAAAAATACTTTATATTGTCATATTAAAGAACTGGTAGAAAAATATGCAGCCAAAAATAATAGGAAAAACCTTGTTACAGAATTGCACTATTCTAGATGTGGTATTTGTGGAATTTGACAGTTCTGTGAAACTTTTGATTGGTTTGGTTTCATTCCTCATTGTAAACATTAGAACTTCATCAGAAATTGTATTCATCTTCACAGTTACTTTTTTCATGTATAGTTCTTATTGTTTTACTCAAACACCTCTAAGTTTTGTAAGCTTCAGGTCTTAAAATATCTTCATGTACCCCAGTGGATTAGCTTTCTGCACTTTCATTTGCACATGCATGGGGTTATTCTTTGGCCCACCATTCAAGTCGAATTTCAGTAGTCCTATCAGACTAATACAATTGGAACCATATCAAAAGAATGGCTAGAATATGAAATAAAGATTTTTGAGTGGGGTCAGGAAAATAATAGAGGATAAAAATAATAGAAGGTTTAATATTGAGGAATTGGTGAATTTGATAGTTTCAAACAACTTTTGAGAAATCCAGTAGGAGAAGAAATGAAAGTGAACTTTGGAAACGACATTATGCACTACAGGTTAGAATAGAAAGTGGGAACATTTGTGAGGAGAGTGAGAGAACTGAGGCTATAGTGTAGTAACTTGCAGAACAAAGGAGTCTGAGAAAGAGGTAGAATGTTACTTAAACTGATTTGGCAGTAAGATGTGGGATAAAAACAAAATAGATGATAGGTGAAGACAAAACAACACTAAAATATTTTTGTTATTTTAAAAAGTAGTTTTGTGTTAGAATGTGCAAGTGGGTACATATGTAGGGTGATTTCACTCTATACATTCCCTTCCCTTCAGAACATGGCTCCACATCCTTACCTCTTTCTTGCAATCATATCCCCTCAAACATGGCTCCAGTACTTTTCATTCTAATAACGTAACTCCATCAAGGTCATTCATAATATTAATCTTCCTAAATACAGAGGAAATTTTTTCAGACTTTATCTTTTTTCGCTCTGCAATAGCGTTGCATTAATTCACTCTCTTATTTCAAAAATCACTTCACTCCTCCTTGCTTCTTATAACACTGCAATGTCCTGATTTTCTTCCTACTGAGACATTTGTGGAGGCTCCTCATTCACTAACCAGCCACTGAATTTTAGAGTTGCAGGCGCCTCTGAATCAGGTCTCCTTCCCTCGTATGATTCTGTATCTCTCCATACACTCTCATAACCACAGTTATCGGTAGCCCAACTGAATGGCTCCCATATTCATGTCTCTTGAAAAAACCCCTTCACCCTGTTGCACTTGACTGCTTGACACTTTAAA